AAGCAAACAATAATGAAAAAGAACTTAAAAGTAGTAAAATTAACTTTAAAGCAATAATAAAATCAGATATTGCCAGCCTAGAAGAAAAAATAAAAGAATTAGAGGAAGCCAAAGGATTACAAGAAGAACTCAAAGAGGTAGAAAATAAAATTAGAGGGGTGATACGTGAGCATATACTCAACAATAAAGAAGAAATTAACAATGTGTTAGGCGGAGACATTCTTATTAAGAGTATAACTGCTAAGGACAATTCTGACTCTTCTCCTGATGAGTTGGATTTTAGTGAATTAAGAAAAAAAGAAGAAGAATTAGGAAAACAACTTGAAGAAAAAGGAGTTGAAGATCAGACGTTAGAACAAATTGAAGATGAGATAAAAAAAAAAGAGCGAGAATTATTGGATTTAAAGAAGCAACTTTTAAACGATGAAGAAATATTCAAGGGGTGACAAAAACAAGGATTTAATATTCAGCAAATTCAGGAATGAGCCGATACTTTAGGAAGAAGTTTTGATCCGGAAAAAGATGCCATTTTTTGTGCCTGATTAAGAGACAGTAAAAATATAAAAACTGAGGGGGTAGCAAAAGACAATGTGGAACAGTTAAGAACTGAACATGATCCGCAGTGAAGAAGTAAGAGCGGTGAAGTTAAAAAAATACTTCTAATCGGAAGATCGGGTCAAGGTAAATCTACGTTGGCTAATATTTTGGTTAATAAAGGAGGTAAATTTGAGGAAATTTTTAAAGAAAGTAGAGGGAGTGTTAGTAAAACTAGAAAAATCCAGGCTGAACAATTTAGAGATGAGGAAAATAATGTCAATTATCTTATTATTGATACCCCCGGCATTGGGGATACTAAAATGTCAGATAACGAAGTATTAGACATTATTGCCGAAGCGGCTTATTTAACCAGAAACGGTGTTAATCAAGTTTTTTTTGTAGTTGATGGTCGTTTTGGCCAATACGAAATGGCTACTTATAATTTGTTAAGAGCAGTTATTTTTGATAAAGACATTACTAACCATACTACTATAGTTCGCACTAAGTTTGAAGCCTTTGAAGATGAAGAAGAATGTCAAAAAGATGTTAGTAATATGATTGACCAAGGCGGTAAATTAGTTGAAATAATTAAGTCTTGCAGAGTTATTCATGTAAATAATCCATCTTTGGGTATCATCAATGATGAGAAGGAGTTAGAACTCAATTGAAAAGAAGAAAGAGAAAAGTCTAGAGAAAAGTTATTGGTTAATTTAAGTAAAATTTACCAAGAAACTTCTTATAAACCAGGTAAATTGAAGGAGTTAAGTAATGCAATCGTTGAAGACATGAATAAATTGCTCCAAAGCAGAAAGGAATTAGATGAAGAAATGAAAAAAATAAAAACTAATAGCGAATCAAGTTCAGTTAATAATCAATCTTTGAAAACTGAAGACAGTAAAAATAAAATTGAAATTCTTCCCGTAAAAGTCAATAAATTTGGGATAAATATTGAAAAAGACGAAGCAAAAGATACCCCAAAAAATAATAGTAGTTTGGCAATTGGTGAAAGAATAAAAGAATTAGAAGATAAAAAAACTAAATTGCAAAGAGAAATTGCTGAAAAAGAGAAAACTATTCGTCAAAAAATACTAAAGTGCATTTTTAATAATTACAAGGAGATTAGTGGTGAGTTGGGAGATGATATTTTTCTGAATAGTGTTACTGGTAAGCACGGTTGAGAGAACATTAATCGAGAATTTAATGACAAAGAATTAGTTGTAGAGTGATTAAGTAATGGATTTGATTTTGAACAAGTCCAAAAATGAGCCACTGCTTTAGGAAATGCTTTTGACCCAAGGTATGACACTGGATTTTGTACTTGATTAAGAGATGACAAAAAGTTAACTGTAGAAAAAATAAAAGAACTAATTCAGGTTTATAGCATTGAACAGTTAAGAAAAGATTATGCTAATCAGTTAGAAAAGGAGACTAGTATATTTGATAAACACAACCAGCAGTTAGACCAGGCAGAAAATGAAAACGAGTCAATCAAAAAAAGTCTATTAGAAGTTAACCCATACGAATACGACAAATTTATTGCTTCTTTATATCATTTTCAACCCCAAGATAGTTTTTTTAAGAATAATCCAAATGTTCGCCAAAATGCTTTTGATAATTTGGGTTTAAAAGGAATAGGCAAATATGATGGTAAAAATTGAAGCATTAGACCAGCAGGTCACGATTTGACTGATAAAGAATGAAATATTATTCATATCAAATTAAAAGAAGGACAATGAGGCTGAAACGAGCATGGTATTTTAATTGTCAATACTAAAACTAAGCAGACTTACTTTACTTCTTATTCTCACAACCAACAACAAGAAGTAAAAGAATTACAAAGAATGTTAGAGAAATATAACCTTAATAATAATCGAGGTAATCAGCCTAGTAATAAAGGAGTCACCTATAATAATCCAGGAAGGATATATGGACAGTATGGTTCAGACAACACTCAGGATGGCGTTAGTTACAATTTCGGATCAGATAATAATCAAAAAAATGAAAAAGATGTGCAAATAATTAATCCCAACATTAACCCATGAAAAGGAGGTCACGACCTTTCTTATAGCACAACTTATTTAACTTTTTTTATTGAGAAGTTAATCCAGCATTTAGAAAATTCTAATGAATTGGGAGATTTTACTAATCTTACTTATAATCACAAAGAAAGGGCCAATGAAATAAACAAAGGGCTTTTTTCTAATTTTTCTAACAGTATTTGGGTTAATAGTATGAATAGATGAAATTATTATCAATCATTAGTTAAAGGAACAGAAAATTATAAGAACAATATTTATCCTAACCAAGTTCAGGAAGTTCAAGAGGCTTATCAGAGAGCACAAATTGGTTCTAGTGAATTTGAAAAAGCCCAAATCCAAATTCCTCCTAAATAATGCTTAAAAAACAATTTAAAAAAGAGGAATTTTATAGAAAAATAAAATTGGAGGTAGACCAGTCAAATTTCAAGTTGCTGAAATAAATAATTATTTGCAATTATTAAGAAGAATAAATTGTGAACAAATTTATCTTTCTATTGTCGGAGACCAAAGACAAAAAGTTTATCGGCGAAGCAAAGGGGATTTTAAATATGACTACTGGCCAGTCGGCAAAAGAAGGAAATAATTTTTTTTGGCAGGAGTTCACGCCACTTTTTATTGGCGGACCGACAAATCATTAACTATTTAATTTTGGATCTACGGCAAATTATTGATATCTAATTTTCACTCCTCAAATAATTTTTTCAACTCTTTTATGATACCTAATCTGCCTCCTTAATTTTGGCTAGTAGATTACCAATTTTTTTAGCACCATCTAATGTGGAGATACCGAAAAAATATCTTTTCTCACCTTGCTCAAAGAAGTCTTTTCCACTCTCTTGATGATTTCTTATTGATGATATATCGTCAAATTTACTGTCATTAAAATTTACTGTCATATTGCATATTTATAATTAATTAGATTAGTTGTATTATTATATATTAAATTTTAAATTTAAATTATTTGTTTCATTACACTTTTACTACCATAATTTACACTTGAATTTGTGTGTCTGAGTTTTCGTTAAAAAACTCTAAATTAGTAATTTATGTTAATTCTATAAGTAGAGAGAGAGAGAGAGAGAGAGAGACGAACTCCATCCGCTCACCTAAACTCAACATATTTATCGTTCATTCTATTGATAATCATCCATCCTTCTACATATAATTAATTTTATATATATAACTTTTGCCCCAAAACCTCAATTAAACCCTCCTCTTGGTGAAAAATGACAAAAAATATTCTAGTTAGGATGGTATTTTCACGCCACTAAAAAGAGAATCAGTTCCATCTGGTGCAGGAAGTGTAAAAGAAAGATAATTCATTAATTTTTGCCAAATTTTAGACCGAATAAATTAACTTTTATTTAGGAGAAATTTCTACCTGTGCCTGAGTGGAATTTTCGCCCATTTGCCTGGAAATATCTTTTTTCTCTAATGTAACTTTATTTTTTGGTAAGAGGTTTGGGAAGCGATTTTTATCGGCCTTGATATTATTTTTTTCTTTTTTCTAATGCTGAGATAGTTATCAAAGAAATGGGTTTAGGAAAAAGTTGGTTTCAATTTAAGAAAGATTAAAAAAATGCTTTATACCTGCTTGGACCTTTGCCAAAAATGAAGAGTATTACCAGTTTGTTTTTAGATAAAAAGTTATCAAATAAAAAATAATCAACCGACAAGAGTTTGTGATTGCGAGACAGGCATTGGTTTTGCAGCATAACGTCTAGCCCA